CGGGGCGCCTTTCCGTGCTGAAGCGGGGTCGGTGTGTCAGGCTGCCGGTTCTCGATGTGCTGGTGGGCCTGGGTAAGGAGCCCCGTCTCTGGCGGCGGTGTGAGGGGAGGAGGGCGCCTTCTGAGAGCCCGTGTTTGCCCGGAGGGGAAGGTGCTGGGTGTCAGCGGGGCTTCGGGGGGAGCAGGGAGCCGGAGGAGGCCAGGCACGGATCTGGGTCCCTTCCGTGTGGCAAGTTACCTGCCTTGCGAGGGAAACTCGCGGTCGCAGCTGAGCAGGTTAATGTGCTGGGGGGGGCTCGTCCCTGGGATCAAGCTTCTGAGGCTGCAGGAGGGCCTGATGCGGGTGCTAGCAGTGCGGTGAAAGATAGCCTGAGCATCTGGTTCATGTAAGGGTTTTCTAAAAGGGAATTTGTCAGTTAAAGTGTATGTTTAGTTTTGAAAAATTCATGTTTTCAGCCTGGAAATGCAGGATGGTGAAGTTAAAAAACCCCCAACAAATCATAAACAAAAGAACACCTCACCTCTGCTGCCTTTGGGTTTTACCTAAAAGCGCATGGAGAACAGTTTCTTAATTGGCTCTTGGTGGAAATGTAGGCTTTTCATGAGTGTGGTGTGTTGCAGTCACTTTTTTGCTTACTGAGAGGACGGAGCTGCTTTCCCTCAGGTTTTCTTCTAATGTGCTTCCCGTTTTCAGTGACGTTATATCACAGCAACCTCTTGGTGGCGAGTGAAGGTTTTGTCACCATGTCTGTAAGACAAAGTGATTCTTAGAAAAGCAATTCAAACAGTTCTGTGGCTTCTCTTTTTCAGAACCCTTACTGGAGCACTAAGCTTGCTTTCTGCCAGTCTGTTAAGGTAGATGTTACCTCAGCTCTGTGAGGAATAAAAGCTGTATGATAGCAGATGCAACTTTAAAGATGCCTGTAAACGTGTTTTATTTGCTATTTATAAGCATGCTTACAGCTTCTAGGTTATTTATCTGATGTTGTAACAAATACCTACTTTTCACTGTGAAAATTAGCTAATATCAGTCATATCTGATATTATGAAGCATTTCTAGTTCAGCCAGTCACGTTACTTGCTGAAATTAGTCTTCTTGCTCCTTAACTTGTGCAGCTGTAACTTCTTAGATCAGCTGTGGGCTGGAGAGCTAATTGACTCTCTGTTTGCATTTCCTATTGTTTTTCTCCAGTAGACCTGATCTTAATAACCAATCTCCAACCTGAATCAGTGGCGGTGTAATGAACAAAAGAACTACTTAGTGTTTATTAATATTTAAAGTTTAGATCAGAACAATTCTTTAATCTTTGGGACCGTGTTAAAACAAAAAGAAAACCTTTGGACTTAGAACTTTGGCACTGCAGATTAGTTTTGTAAGTGTAGCCTTGGGAAGGAAGTCCTGAATTTGTTTTAGGGGCACAGGGTCTTTACACAGTGCACAGAAAGACTTTGGCAGTAATGTGGCGTGTAAAACAGGCAGCACAGCATATTCAGTAGGGAAATGGCCAAAGTCAGCACCTTTAAAACAAAGTTGCCTAAACCCCAGTGACAAAACACCAAGTACGGTGGCATACCTGAATTTCAGGCATGACAGAAAGTGCCTTTGTCTACCTACAGTTACCATGTTGGGGTTCCCATCCTTCTGATGAAGGAACCATGACTGCTGCAAGCATCTTTCCAGAGGGACGTTGCCCATACATGTACTCTCCTTTCTTTATGAGAGTAGGGAAGAAATTGGAGCAAAATTATTCAGAGCAAAGTTATTTAGGTCCTTAAATTCAAAGGAAGAAGGGGTATTGCATCATTCTAATAAAAAAGAATAAAATAAGTAAGAACAAAGCTTTAAAATAAATCCGTAACATGATAGGTAACTATCTGAGGTCTGTTTTGTTGCTGGAGCTTGAATCTGGAGAACTTTATTTCTCTTTTTCACATTGGGAGCACAACTCCTCATTTGAGAACATCAGCTGGCTGATGCTTGTTATGTTCTCTTTTTAATTTTCTAGACAAAATCTAAGCAGAACAAGGAGGTTTTGCATTTCTGAGTGGTGAGAGGCTTAATAATCCGAAGGCAAAAAAAATACTATTTTTTAATTTTTTTTTTTTGTTTTCATGAACGATTTTATCCAAGTGTTACTGTAATTCACTACAAATTGGAAAGGAATGCTGTGTGTGCTTACCCAGCGGATCTTAATGATGCAGTGCTTTGATCAATGGTAGTGCTTTGAAGGGTGTTGCCTTGATCCAGTGCACTGATGAAGTAAGTTATTTCATCCACCCATTGTGGTAGCTAAATTGGGCGTGAGCTGAGCTGCAGTGTTCCTCCATATGTCCCCCATTGCTATAAGTAATCCAGTCATTCCTCCTGTATAATTGAACCTGTTACATGCTTTTGTTTTTATTTGCAGTGCTGCACCACGGCGACTACCTCGGCAGATAGCTCTGGTAACTATGAAAAGTGGCGGAAGGAATTGAGCCAGAGTTACAGTAGCTCTGGTTTGGACTATTCAGAAGACACCTTTGAGCCCTTCAGTGAGGAAGAAGCAGCCTGCTGGTGGTGAGAGAGTGAGTGGTCTGCTGTGTCAGATAACGTTGGAAAGCATGTCACAGTTGGCAGGCCAAAATCATGCAGGTATGCAGAGCTTACCATACTTGAGACCTGTCTTTCACAGCTTTAAATCAATGCAGTGGAGGCTTGAATCAGCAAAAATAAAAATGTAGAAATTGTGTACAGTGTTCTTGCTGTGCCAAGCAACAGAACATCTGTATGCTGACTAGATCTGTGTTTTGCGCTCTCGGGATTTGCTGACAGCTACATGCAGAAGTGTTATGATTTGGCCATGGAAACCCTTCTTTGTGATGCTGAAATTCTGTTGGCATGTTAAAAAAAAAAATTCTGCAAGATATCTTGTTTGAAAAGTAGCTGGGCCGTAAAATAATCTTTCCAAGGGCACAGGGAAAGTTCCAGGACTTGAAATACTTAAGAGGGCTAGATAGTACCTTAAAGCTGCATCAGATGAGTGATAAAGAGGCAGGTGGCAGGACATAAGCTAACTGCCTTAATGTCTTGTTAGGTTTTCTTCTGTCTCTGTGGGGTTCTCTGTCATGCTTCTACATTCTTCTTTTCTCCAAGTTTGGTCTGGTAAGTATTGTGAGTACTTGAAGAGATGAATATTTTTTAAAATCCCTTTTTAGTCTGGGAGCTTGTCAGCATGTAGAAACATTATCGCTTTAAAGATTAGCTACAACGCTTTTAATATATTTTTAAAAGTAGTGTAGACTTAAGATATATTTTAATGTCTATTAGCTGTTACTCTTGTAATCTGATTCTACTCAGTTTAACTTGATCAGCTGGCATATACCAGTATATAATTAACCTTGTCTATACTTTAACATTGGCAAGCTGTTCCTTTTCCTACTACAGACAGTCCGGTAGAGATGATCCCCCTGTCCCTCATCTATCTAACATTTTACTGTGGGTTGGGGTTTTTTTTCACTCTGCAGTAATAACCAGCACCATTATTGTTAGGAATCCTTTTTAAATATGGTTTAGGCGTGAAATCCCAACAACGCAGGGCAAAATTTGTTGTCAGGTGTATGTACATGAATGTAAACCCTGTTTGTCCTAGCACAGAGTATAGCATTCAATATCAGTGCTTCAAAACTCTGAATAAAGAGATGATCATTGCTTTGGTGCCTTATTCATGCTACATTTATATAATTGAACAGCGCCTAATAGATTTAACAGTTTTGCTTAAAATTTTTGGTTTTTACAGATGATAGGTTTTAATAAACCTTTTTTTTTTTTCCTGGAGATACAACAAGTTTTTTTAAATTATTCCATGTCTAACCTTTGAAATCCTTATTTCTGGCATCAAGGAGTACATGCTGGGGGAATCCTTGCTCTGTGCGTAGAGGTTTTTTTAATAAGTGTTACCACTTTTTATCTTTACAAGGTTAATGTTTCATAAAATTATGGAGTCTTCTGAATACTACCAGTTAAATGAGAAACGAGGGAATAATTCATAGAAAAATATTTTGGGAAATTGATTGCTTTCTGCGGTATATATCTTACCGAGAACAGCATATATAAATAATAAAAACTATAGAAAACCTGTCGTGCTGGTGTCCCCGTAGGGACACGTTATTTCCTTGCATAAGCCCACTGAATTTGCTATTAGTACCCTGAAGACAGTAGAGAAGTCGGGTGCTTCCTGAGTGTGCTCAGTGTTTTGAACTGGGACCACACCGTATGCACCTTGCTGTCAGTGACAGTGACTTTTCAGACCTCTGAAGTCTTTTGTCTTTTCCCAGCTATTTGCTTTCACATCTTTGCCGTTTCCTCAGTTTCTGCAGAACTGGAGTTGTGCTGGAACAAGCTGGAGAACAGGGAGCCAATACGGATTTTTTTATTTCTCCTGCCCCACGTTATTTTTCACTTGGATCAATGCCTTGAGACAGTTCACCTAAGCTCCTAAGAGTACTTGTACTGCCACAAATGAAGAGCCTATTCAAGGCTGAAAATAAGCGATGGGGCTGAAAGAGGGAGAAGGTAGATTGTTAAGTTAGCATTACAGATAAAATTGAATGTGTCAACAAGCTCTAAGCAGTAGTCTCTGTTTTTCTCAGTGTATCCTACATTGTCTTGCAGTGGGGTGATTAGAAATGAGCAATATGAGATCCTTTGTGGGACAGAAGTTTGCTCAGCGTTTCACCCTGAAATCACTGATATCATCTGTATAGTCCTATGGCTTGGGGTTTCTTTTCCCTCAACAGGGAGAACTCGCATTCGAGTGGAGGATTATTTGCCTCCCACTTGCTTTTTCTGCAGTCCTGCTTTCTTTACAATGTATGTTCAAAGCTACCTTTTTTCATTGTAGATGAGCAGTCTGAAGTAGCGGATTCTGCAGCTATAGAAAGAGATGTCATGGGAAAATGGGTTGATCTAAATAATAAAGCAACTGGCATTAAGCAAGACAAACATGTCGTCAAAACTCCTGCTGGTGAGTTCAGTAACTTCAGTAGAGGTTATAATTCTTGTTTCTTTTGAAAGGGGATGTAAACTTTTAACTAGTCTTAAATTTTATATACAAGCTATAAAAATTAAGCCAGGTAATTAGTCTGGCTTAATTAGCCACGTAATTAAGTACGAAGTTTCTCTTTTGTGCTTTCTCAGAAAGCAGTTTGTCTCCCATAACACACATGGCTTTGATGCTTCTGACGTAGTGACATTATCCTAGTGATGCATTACCACAAGATCTGGATAAATACATTAGAAAATGTATCCACATTTTACATTTAACTGTAATCCTCAAAATTTTACTGGACTGTTTAGTTTTTCTTTTTTTTTTTTCTCTCCAGCTGTACAGGTACTAGGAGTGTGGGTTTTTTCCTTCCAAAGTAAATGTGACTTCAGAATTTATTGTGTGAAATGTTTTTCCCCTTGTTAATCAGTTGTGTTAATTACTGCATTACTTGTTTGCCATGTTTTAGTTCCTTTCCCAAGCTGAGGGCGGCAGCAGGGCACCAATTTTGACGAGAACAATGGAGCAGCTTTGACCAACACAATGATTTAGTGTATGGAGGAGGAGAGGGGAAGGGAGGAAGGAAGGATGCTGTTTGCATGTACTGGTTATGCAAGCAACTGTGAGAGCAGATGGTGGGATGCAAGTTCTGCTTAAGTCTTTCTGAAAAGTGGGTCAGAGATACTATTTTTAATTAAAAAAAGAGCAAGAAAGCTGTAGTTGAGCAAAAAATAATTGAAGCAGAAAGGGAATCTTCCTCAGTCTATACGTACATGAGAAGTGAACAAACTCAGAAGTTTTGTAGGTCACCTGTAAGACTGATTAACCAGGGAGATCTTCCTGCCTAGGTACTTCATGGCATTGCATTTGTGTACAAGCATCCTCAAACCATCCATATATCATAGGAAAACATGACCTAAGATCATTTTTAGGCTATTCTTAATTGTATAGCTCATTCACAACAGTGGTGAGTCAATGTTACGAGTTCCTGACTCATCTTCAGCATTTATCTTTCTATTACTGGTTTTCCAAGACTGCTCTGTAGTCAAGTGAGAAGACAGTTAATGTAGATCATCTCATCTATAGTAGAGAGGCTTCTGGCGAGCTCCTCTGAGATAGCATTCCTAAAATACATCAGAATCTTGTGACCATTTGATTCATAGAGAAATTGAAAAGGACCTGATGAGTTCAGATTCATTGAATGAATGATAAACAACAGTGTAAGGTTGAGGAAGTTTTCCATCTCTACAGAGCTTTCCCTTGAAAGTTACGCTTGGGAAGATTTTATCCTCTTAATCAATCTCCAATTTTTGTAGTTCTGCAGAAGCTAACATTTTGCATTTGGTTTATGGACTTTGATGGGCAAGGAGAGTAAGAGTGGTCACTCAGTCTTGAGTAGCAAGTTCTGTTTCATTAGCTTGCGCTGATGTATGAGGTGATGCAGTCTTCTGTCTGCCTGTCCTATCGTTTGTCATCTTAGCAGCTAAGCACTTCTCAGGCATGTTGTTACAGTGCTTCCATCCACTGTCAATATGAAGAGCACAAAATAAGGTTCATGCTTATGCTTCTTTCATGCAAACACAGTGCACTGTCATGTGATTGACAAGTTATCCCCAAATTCATCAGCATCAGTCATACTTAGCTGGGTACTATGTTTTTTATTGCAGAATGTTAACATACAAACAAAACAAGCACAGCGACTTTTGTATACCGACATCTATAAATGCCTGCTTCTCTTTGACTTAATAATTCAGTACTCGGTATTCCCCAAGCCTCTTATTATTTTATCAACTTGGAGATTTTTTTTTTTTAAATACAATAGAAGATGAGCTCAACTAGAACTAGATTGGTGCACAGTTAGTCCCCTCAGTAGATTCAGCAAAATGAATGATGTATGCACTAAGCATGCATGATACTTTTGAATTTGTCTTCAGATAATAAAACAAAAATTCTTTTTATTATCTTACTACTGGTAGGGTTAAATGTGGGGGGAAAAAAATCCTGGTTTGCATATGGGAATGCCCTGGAATGTGATTCTTATTTTTCATCATTTTCTTTGTGGGCTGAAAGAAGAAAAACCTAGATGCTGGCTTCAAGGGAAGTGAGAATTTTTTGTCATAGCTGTCTCTCTGTCTTCCTCTTCTCTGGCCCTCTACCCCAGTGCTGTAGCAACTAGCTGTTATTAGACAAATGCATCACAAAATGACTGTAAGTCCCTAATTCCATATGGATTATTCCAAAGACCATTAGTCATCTTTAAAATTTACTACAGGAAACTGCAGTTGTTCAGCTTAGATGTATCTGAAAGTTCAAGTGGGGCTTTTTAATGCTCTGACTTGTACGGTATTCAGAAGTTTACTCTCACCTTTGCTTGTAACGTGTCTACGTTAATCTTTTTGCTCATTTCTTTTTCTGCAGTGTTAGCACTGCACGATTGCTGGCAAAAGTGAGAGAGCTTTAGTTGTTCATGTATGTTATTTAGAGGCATAGGAATGTTTGAGCAGCATCAGGCAGTTTTGTGGCTGAAATACAGTTCAGTCCATATTACCAATTTAACTGTTGTTGTTGTTATGATAGTGGTGTCAACAATGGGAAATCTAAAAGTAAAAAAGGCCAGTGTAGATACAGACGAATGAATACCTGCAGCTCGTGCTGTTAAGGTGAAAGGCGCTGGCATGTGCACATAGACGTGTGCACTGAGGAAAGTGTAAGTGTTTATTTTTCTGCATGGGATTTTTTCCAGCTTGTCCAGAGTATTTCTGAGTAGATCTAGTTTATATTCATTTTGTGAGCAAATTTTCGTATGTCCAAGCATTTAATTATTGACTTACCAAATAGTAGTTTATTGAAAGTATTTATTAAAAGTAGTAGTAGTCTATTTATAAAAATTGAGAAAACATCCTACTGCTCTGTTTGGGGAAGGGAGCAGGTATCCTATAGTCTATACCAGCTCTCTTTACTATTCCTGAGCTTTTCAGCAACAAAGCTTACTGCTTGATAACATGCACGGGTTGTGGGATTCCTGCAGACCTAGTTAGGCCCTGAGATTCCGGACTTCTCTTGTGATTCTGTCATAAAATAGTATTAATGTAGGCAATGGGGGGGACATTCCAACCAGCGACTTCTAAATGGAAACCTGCTTGTAAAGAAAGTTCATAGAGAATGAGTTTCTTCTGAAAGACATGGATTCTGCAAGGTACTTACTATTGTCTCATCTCACTAATGTTGGTGGAAACTGAGGGTATCCGTCACCATGCTGGAGGAACTTTACTTGCTTTAAATTCGTGTTTGTAATAAATAGCCTGATATTTCAGACTGTTTATATCAGTTCTGTGTTATCTGCACAAATCTTTCAAACCCTATGTTTGCCGATCGGGCTGTCAGCATGTTAATCTGAACTGCTGCACTCAACTGTACAAATGCAATTTAGATAATTATGATAATTATGAAAATGTTATCTTGAGATGCAGTTAAAATCTTTCTGAATAGTAGTTATCAGTTACTGCCTTTAACCGTTTTACGTTTTTTCTTCTTTATTAGAGTATTAGTAGAGCATAACAACAACAAAATGCCTGCTATTTTCCTATTAAATCAAAGTTAGACATCAAAGGAAACCTAATCCAGATTTTCTTTATTTTTCTCCCTTCACTCATACAGATTTAAAATGTCATACTTAAAGATGTAGTTGCATACAGAAAACAAAATCTATGTAGGTCACTTTAGTTATAAACCACACAGCAGGGTTTAGAACGTAGACATGGAGATTAGCTTATCTCCGTTGGTACGCACTGAGTGCTTCTGTAATCAGAGTAGCTTCTTGGTCCAGTTTGTTGTGCTTTACTTCCTAAATACTCTGTGCTTTGTGACCTCACTGCTGTGTGATACATGGCTCTGACGTGATGTCTGTTCTGGTGTCTGGTTTTGCTCTTCTTGTCACCTGTTCCTGCCTTATTCCTCTCCAACGAAGAGGATGTGGGAATGCAGGATTCGGGGCAACCAAGCGTCAGCAAAATGCACTTCTGGAACAGCAGTTGGCACTGGCAGGGATTCTCTGTAGAGAGACATGCAGTGACATTTAAGTCTGCCACCACAAATGGGGATTGAGCATTTGAGCATGTCTAGTTCAAAGATGGAAACGAGGGAATATGTGAAAGACACAAGAAATAAGTAAAACCAGCCACCCCCAAAGCAAGTGCATAGATCCGTATGCATCTCTCTCCTTTCAGCTGAAGGACAGGTGAACCTCATATAACTAGAAGAAAATCTGGAAGTATAAACAATCATTGTGCAGTTAAAAGACTAACTTTGCAGAATTTAACTGTGTGCTGACTTTTCTCATAATTTTTTGTTCTTGTTTCAGTAAAATTGTAGTCCTTGATCCTTGATAACTTTTATTCTTTCTGAGCTTATTTACTGTTAAACATGAACTAATATTAAACAAGTAACTTTTTGAAATTGGTTGTGCAGTCAGGTTTAAAAATTGCTGTTCTCTTTGCTAGCGTTTCTTCTAATGTCTGTAGGTGCAAATGAGCAAATGGATGGGTTTATGGCAGCACACAATTCATGCTCTATTAGAAACCAATTCTTAATTAAAATGCGCTTCTATATGTCAGGAGAAACCTAAGTGAATTAATTAGGCTGGTATTAAATTGTCACAAAATGTTCAGCAGGCCCCATGTGTTTTACTTGTGCATTTGAGTACTCAACTTAGTATATGTAAATGCTTTTTCTAGAGGGTTTTTTTTTTTTCCCCCCCACAATAGTAACTTTTTAATCTTTTTATTCATTCTATATGTGGCTGGGCTGGGTTTT